CAGTGGGCGAAGTCTGGCCAGTTGAGTTTCTGATCCACATGGGCTTAAAGGCATAGATGCTACGTTGAGAACAATCTGGCGATTCGGATTCTCCGAACAAGTTCCATGCATGCTAGAAAACCTGTTGTGAAGCACCCTTCCTCTCGGGCTAGCGCTGAGGTTTGCCCAAGGGCCATGCCTTACGATGAGCCCTTGCGCAAATGGAAGTGCTGCTAGCTCCACAGCAGAAGCTATCCAGCGTGCATGAAACACGTTCCTGGGATACCTTTCAACCCAGTAGAATGCTGCATTACTGTCACCCGTCCTGTGCCCAGGCTTGAACACTTGCAGCCTTTGGGCCTCAGTCGGAATGACAGCCAGTATTTTTGGAGCAAGGCTGTATCTGACTGCATCCTACTGAAAGCGAGGAGTTACTGCGGGAATGTATCTGGCTGGCTTTTAGCTGTTGCCGAATGGAACAATCAATCCCCATCAGCCGTCACCATGTTTTGGAGAGAACTGCATGCCACCCAGCCAGAAGCCGAGCCTGCGTAAACCAGTTCTGCACTTGATCAGCACAACTGGCAACCTGACCCCCCCCAAAAATATATATAAAAAAAATCAAGGGGAAGTTTGGAAGGATTAATGCCATTAAAAGTTAGGGCTGGCCTAATTGAGTAGATTGCTCTCATGAGAAAGTGGAGGGGGGGAGAGGTACAATTTGGAAGAACAGTCTTTGCTTTGTCCTCTGCAACAAACCCTCTTGCCGATTTTGCCTTGTAGGCAGGTCTACCACCTTTCCCCCCTGGCCCTTGTCCTTTTAATAGAAGCCTGGCACGTCCATCATTGCCTCGTGTTAATCCACTATTAAAGACAGCAGAAACGGTGCCAGCAAAACTGCCACCCATCCCAGGTCGGCCTGTCTCACACAAGGCACTCTAGTGACTTTAACAACCTCCGGTCCAGGCAATTACTCTGTAGTTATGGCAGAGTTTGAGATAACAAGACATACACTCTACCCAAAACCTATTGAGGTAAGCATTTTTTTTTGTAGCAAACACACTAAGAAGACCACAGAACAAAGAGGAAAATAAAAACAAAAAAGAACAAATCATCATTATCATAAATCAACAATAACACCAATACTACTATTCACTCGTTTTGGCTCAAGAGGGCAGCAGATATTATATTTCAGCTTGTCTTTTGGTTGGAATTCTTGATTACAATATCCACCACAGTTGACAACCTACTGGAGTAGGATATGTGCATTAAAAAATGTATTCAAGTTACCTTACAAACAGTCCAAGGGGGGAAAAAAAGATGGCAGAAGACAGAGAGGGAGCACCCGATCCAGGTTAGGCACATCAAACTGGGCCAGAGGGTTGAGGGGGGCAAACTTTGTCCCCGCCCCCTTAAATAACTAACTAGAGAAAACTGAAACCCAGGGGTCTAAAGCGAAAGTGACCACACCCTGGAAGTTCTTATCGCTAGCAATGATTGGATTGCTCCCTCATTTAGATTTTTATTTTTTTATTTTAAAAAAAGGGAGGTTTACTGTTTCTTTCAATAAGGCACTAAATAGACGCGTTACATAAAGGAAAGATACATTAAAAAAAACCCCACTTCTATAAATCCATTGACTTTGTACCTTTCGTAGGAAGCTAGATTAACTCCTTTCTCTTTTATTTTTTTTAATTATGAAAAATCTGCAAATTGTAGGTACTGTAAAGCTATTATCAAGAAACTACCGGAAGGGGGAGAAGGCAAGTTGTAATACTGTAAAAAAGGGGGAAGTCGGTTTCAGGAGTCTATCACTAGGCAAAAAAAGTTCTCTGTATTTTTATTTTTTTTTAATGGTGGAAAATTTCAAGTTCGTCTGTTTGCTGTCTTGATCATCCTCTTTAAAATACATATAAATAGTGTTCAAAAGGATCAGAACGTTTAAAAGTGTTCACAGGTTGTTTCCAGAGTTCTTCTCCCCTTTTTCCTTTTTTTCCCCCCTTCAAGTAATAGAAAAGTCGTGTAAAACCCAAGATTTATTGCCTTTTATATCTTTCATTTATGTTACCTTACTAGTTAGCATCTGGTAAAAAGTGGAATTACACCTCCTTGTAAAAAAAAGAGAATGGTCACTCGATTAAAATCTCCCCTCTGCAAACCTTTCTATGCTCCATCGTGGGGCTTCTGTGTTCCATGGTGGGTAGAACTGTGTAGCTGCTAGGACTGCCAACTTTCCCAAGCTGCCATGGTACCTGTGCCTTGATCCTCAAGTCATTAGTGGGGCACGATCACATCGATGGGTTGTACTGTGCTATTCTACTCAGCTAATGGTACCCTCTTTCTCCAGTGCAAGAGGCTGTTCCACCAAAGACCCCCTGTTACCTCAGCTGAATGGCAGGACGCAACCCCAAATCTCCATGCTGACTTCTGCATATTATGCAGAACAGGCCAAGACAGTTTTTTTCCTGGTCAGTTGGCATCCCTTCTAGCTACCAATGAATACCTTTGCACAAGGTAGAGAAACAGGGGGGCTTAGCTCCTGTACATACTTGATATCTCCCCCCCCTCTTTCTCTCCATAAATTCATCTCTCACTTTCTCACATTTGGATCACGTACAAAAATTCACACGAGGGTTAACACAACCAACCGGATCGCGACACAATATCAAAAATGTAAACAATAGCATTTGTAAGACAAAATGTTTCATGATACCAGAGAAGAGACTGCACTGGGGGGGGGGGGCAGGCGGGAGAAATAAAAATTACATGACATGAGCTGATTTGTTTGAAGGGGATCAGAGGTCAGAACCTCGACACAGGAGGATGCGCAAGAGCTTTAGAAGAGGTAAAGGGTTTGCTTCTAAGGCGTCCGTGCAGGACTCTTTAACCTTTCAATGCATCACAGGAACTGACAGGTTTCCATCTACGTCTTGCCCAGTGCCTCTTTAGCGAGAATAAATAAAAACGGTTAACAACCAGAGGCAGGCAAGAAAGGGGGCCGCACACCATGAGCTGCAGTGTACCCACCATTTCTTTCCCTGTATAGGCAGAGCTCATGGATGGCTCAAACCCAGAGACTGCCAAAAGCGGCTTGAAGTACAGACACTGCATATGTTTTCCTTTCCTCATTCAGATTTCAAAATAGGTTTTTGTGCCCAGCTGCGTGCCCAATGAAGCTAGCTACGGTGGCCCATCAGGCACATGAGGAGTCCCTTTCGCTAGGGCATCTGAGCTTGGCGGGCTGCCATGAGTTGTGCAGGTCCCAACTGAGACGACTGGATGCAAATTTACAAAGAAGATAGAAATTCAGAGCTGCTAATAATTTCCTGGGCTCTACAGGCCACCTGCAGGGACTCCCTTTCCCAAACAGAAGCCTTGGTCCTTCACACCTGGCTGACCTTAGGTTATGAAGAGTATTTAAAACCATATAGGAAATTGAGCTTCCCCCATACCAGGTTTTTGGGGTATTTTTTTTAAAAGTCATTTATAAGGTAGGTTTTATGAGATGGTTAAGCTTTTTTTTTTAATCATCTTAATTGATGAAGAGAACCAGATTAGCCTGATATTAAAAAGACAATTAGAAGCAATCACTCCGTCATTAAAAGAAGGCATCTTAATGGCTACTTATACTTTTATGGGCCCCATGAAATTAGCTGGGGAGCGGCAGCTGAACGGGGTCGTTCAATTGCCCTCTAAGGGGCTGGGGATTCTGCAAAGCTCCGTCAAAAGGACATGACGCCCGTGTTCTCGGGGCTTAGCTGCGCACAAACACCTCTTGTGCAAGCAGGGATTCCCCCATCTGTTTCCACACTAAGCAGAGTCCTCCATGGGCTAGAAGGGTCTGTACACAAAACCACCCCCGGCCCCGAAGGGATAGAAGAACTCCTTGCTTAGGTGTAGCTCCATTAGCAGTCCTGAAACCACAGGACGGGGCAACTGTGTATGCATGCAATGTTTGCAGGATCAAGTTGCAAGGTTTAATTTTCTTTCTTTTTTTTAAACAAACCCCAAACTTTTAACCATGCGTCCAATAATCGTAAGACACAAATACACGCTAAAAAAACTGGGGGGGGGGAAGGGTTGAAATCCTGTTTCTGTAGGGAACGTAAATGAGCAGGGTGTTACAATCTGTTCTTGGGGAGGGATGTGGAAATACACCCCCCCCTCCAAATTAATATGCACCCACACTGGGTCAATTGGAAAGGGCGCTT